GAGAGAGAGAGAGAGAGAGAGAGAGAGAGAGATTTACGTTTAATTCAAATAATTCTTGAAACGCTTTTTCCAATATTTTTCCAGTTGCATTAGTAAAATTTTTTTTGCAATTTCTTTATTTTTATGTGCACTACTATATCTAGTTGTTTTAATTTGCAGGAAAACCAACTTGATGATAATTTTGAAACCGTTTCTTCTTCGAAGAACTTGCTTGATGAAGGCAAAAACATAGAGAACAAGAAATTTCTGGAAGGCAATTTTAATCTAAAGGGCGGAAAATGTGGGGAAAAGGATTTCAATTCATCAGAAAAAGCTGACAAATCAGTCGATTATTTGAGAAAAGAACTTTCAAAGAGAGAATTAAGAGGAAAAATTTTTATTGAGAAAGGTGAAAATCAGATCCAATCTTTTAGAGATCATTATATTTCTACTCCAAACGATGAGGCAAAATCAAACCAAGTTCAGAAGAGCTATGATGGAGACAATGACTTTATTTCAACAAAAAATGGCAAATTTGGAACCCATATGCAAAAAGGACTTATTTTGTCAGAAAATGGTGAAAATTTGAGCAACTCTTCGAGAGAAGAAGATCATTTTTCGACAAAAGATTTGGTTGAATCAAGCCAAATAGCGAAGAGTCATGGGAGAGAAAATGATTTCATTTCACCAAAATTTGGGAAAAAGGCAAACCTTGAGGAAAAGGAATTTGTTTTGTCAAAAGATAATGAAAATATGAGCCTAGTGAAGGAGGAAGTTGTGAATATAAATGCTTTTATATCATCAAAAAATGACAAAAATAGGAGCAATTGCATGCAAAAGGATAAGATTTTGTCGAAAGATGAAGAAAGCAAAGGCCCAAGAGAATGTCTGAGAAAAGAATGCTTTGCTTCGATGAAAAAGGGTGAAAATCTCGGCCTCCGCTTGAGAAAAGAAAATTTTGTTTTATGTGAGAATACTAATAAATCAACCCCAAAGGGGAAATCATCTCTAATTTTGGAAAATCCCGGGAAAGAGAATGTTAATGGAGAAAATTTGATGGAAAAGGATTTAAGCTTAATGCAAAATAACAGAAATTCAAGAGAAATTGCTGAAAAATCTCCTGATATTGCTGGAAAATGGCAATGTCCTCGAAAAAATAAGAAATTAAATGGACCACCATTGAAGCAGCTTCATTTGGAGAAATGGGTTCACAGGATACAGAGCAACCATAGATGCCCATAGCACATCTTGCTACAATGTCTATTGTATTCTGTAAAAGTATTGCCTTCTGTATTCTTTATATTGCAGCAGTTATGAACTGTTTATTGGGATCGTATCAATGAATCTTTTAGCTTTGCACAAAAGTCACAAACATCCCAAGCCTTTTGATCTTAAATCGGACGGCACGAGTGTGTCATTCATATGCACAAAAGTCTTCTTTTGTGCAGAGGAACTGTATCCAAACCAATTTTGGGTTTATTTGGTTTTAGGCTTCTTTTAGTTTTGATCTCTTAATTATTCTTTTTAAAATTTCGGTAGGGTTTTTCCTTCTTATTTTCATATTTTATTTAGCTTATCTTGCCATTTAATGATGTTGTTTCATTTGCAAGGTATTCCTTGTTGTTGGTCTTTCTATCACACCAATTAGAGTAATTGGTTAGGAAATTGAGAAACAGTAATCCAAAGATTCAGTGACAGGCAATTCTTAAAAAAAGGATCTTTGATTTTTCTTATTAGAAGAAATTTATGTTCATTAACAAGATCATGTTCATCAAAAAATGGTCCTGTAATGAGAGTTTTCATAATGAGCCTCTATCATGTTGGAAATTTTGAAAATATTGACATGCTTCTCTTTGTGTTAATTGTCTTTCTCTATTGGCAATTAATAGTGAGATTATGGTTCTTAGTTGGAGGCTATCTGGTGTGGACCTTGAGAATTTTGTTTTGTTTTTTTCCAAAACATATCTTCACATGCTTCAAAGAGTAGTTTGATATATATTTTTTCTTTGATCATAGCTGGCTCGGTGATTATTTCTCTTTGCCCCAATTGGTTTTGATGTCTATTTGCTTTCCCTAGTTGACGTCTTGATGTGCTCTTATAATTTTTCCCAGTAGATAATCAGTGGATGAGTAACTGATTTTTTAGAAATGTCTTGGCTGTATTCCGTGTTAGCTCATACGCAAAAAGCTACTGCTAAGGAAAAGGGGTCAGAGGCTCTAGGAAGTCCATGACTACACAAGTTGCTCTAATAAATTTACCTGAAAGACAGTTCTTACATACTCAGTTGGGTGTATTCAAGAGCTGGACATGATATGTGCGATCCCCTTAATCATTTGGATGAGTCTAGGAATTTGATCTAGAAGAGGCACTCTATTGGGACAAAGTCAATACCTGTCTGTTCTGACAAACCTAGATGCAATCATGTGCTCAATTGTCCATGGATATTTCTCAACAAGGTCTTGGAGGGAGTCCACCCTTTCATACATTCCACCTCATTAACCACTAATTGCACTTGTGATCCAGACTTGACTCCACAAGAGTATTGGAAACCATTTGATTCGCCCTATCCTTGCTTCTTTCTACACTTCTTGACCTGTCCACTTCATGAATTTATGTTACTTTCTATTAATTCTGATTTCTGAGTATATGTTGATCTTCCTCATCAAATTGCTGGGTATCAACCCTGTCCCACATATAACCAAGATTTGGACTTTTAAAGTCTTCTAATTTATCAATTATTTACTGATTTATAATTTGTTTCAGTCTTTCAGTTTTCAACTTGTGTTTTTCTTGGCCCTTCTTAGGCTTTTTTGGGAATTGCTATAGCATATTGACCTGCCGGGTCAAAAGGCGTGCCATATTGCTTTTGCATATTATGCATGTGGTTTCTTGTCTTAGTTGCTTTGCTTGGTTAGTATCTTTTATCTTCCTAAGGCCCTTGGCCATTGAGAGAATTGACAGACTTTTTATGTTAATGTTTTTGTTTGTTTGATTGAGACCAGTTTGCTTTTGTGAGTATACAACATATTCTCTAGTTTCTTGTTGGCCATTATCTTTCTTCTTTACTTCACCGCTTCTCCAGGACCATTCTTTTTTCGCTCTTCTGTAGACAGGATTTAACAGGGGTTTTGGGTGCCAGTGGTCTTTCTGACTTTAATTTCACTATGGAGGATGGTCTTGAACTTGTAGAGCAACACATTTGTGATCAAATTTTTATAAAGTAGTGCTGCGTTACTTTTCTGGAGGGACTTGCAAGTTCTTTGTCGCATTTTGGATTGCTGGTAATGATAAAGTCGAATGACATTCTTCGAAAGCAAACAGCTCTAAAGGTGAATTTTCCTTTCTTTTATAGTTTCTTCCTCGAGTTGTAATATAGAATTTCTTTTTTAGCATTCTTTTACCGCCACCTCATGTGTATTTTGTGATTGGCTCTGACAAATTAGCTGCAACAGAATCAAATACTCTCTATTATAACTTTCCATTTGCTTTGTGGCACCATATCTGTCCAATGGTGTTTAGGTAATGTGGAACTGTGTTATGTTTGTATGGTTTTTTTAATCATGCAGTTCAACTAAAATTTTCGTCATGACAGGCCTTGGTCTTCATTGCCATTGGCCCACATTGATATGGTTGACTTCTACAAACTTGGTATTTGAGGGAATGGATTAGAAGTGCTTCTCTCACTCTTCTTTCTTATGTGGTGTAACTAGTGTTCTTTGGTTTCTGCAGGGTGAAAGAAAGATTTCACTCTGATTTTTGTACTTCATGTGGTGGGGGTTTACTGGTGGTACAGAAATGATGACCTTCTATACCCACTTGTGATGCTTCCTCCAAAAGCAATACCCCCATTTTGGCATGCTATATTCACCATTGTGGTAAATGTTATGGACTTGACTATGGCATTTTTCTTTGTTTTTCGTTTGTTCTTTTGATAACTTGACCTACAAAAACCATTTCCAATTAGACAAAGAAAAGTTGTCCTCTTTTTCTGGTAACAGATTGCCCTGAAGCTGGTCTATTATTGCTTATAAAAAAATAAATATATTATATATATTACATAAATATATATTATTATTAGGACCAGGTTTCTATACAGCCAAGCCCGCATATGTAGGAATGCGGGCCTCTTAATAAATCTATTTTTTAGATGGATTTTTTGACTTAATTTTTAGTAATCTCTAATATGGAGATGGAATATAAATAAATAAATAAATTTTAAATACCATAAATAATAATTTTAGTAAAAAAACATTTGGACTATTAGTTTACATTGTTTTTAGATGGAACACCTACTTGCATCCATCTTTACACCTTTCGGGCCGCATAGGTAGAAATGTGGTCAAGCTGCATGCAATGATTTTCCTTATTATTATACTACTACAATATAATATAAATATTCTATATTATATTATTTAATATACACTATACAACACAACATAATATATGATATAATGTATTTTATGTTTATTTTATTGATGTATATTTGTATTATATATAATATAATATAAACAACATAATATAAGACATAATATAAGGGTGCAGTTAGCATACGGATGCATCCGTAGCTGTAGAGGTAAGGTGCACCTTCAAATTTTATTATGGTATATAATTTTGATGTAAAATATTCTTAGGATTATTT